ACTCTGTAGCCATTAGGAGGGCAGGAGACAGAGTCCCTGCGCTGACAGTTTTCCAGAGAAATATAAAATCTGGAACACTTCATGGATGTTTTTTCAAGGTGACGCTTCAGATTATTAACCAAACCAAGCAGGCAGTGAGTAAAGAAGCCATTAGGTGTCCGGCAGTCAGTGAAGCAGCTCATTGGACAGTTAGTCTGCAGATTCACCGCCACACTAGAAACGGTCGCTCTGTTGTTAAGGAGGATGCTCTTTGGGTTGAAAACACGCTCAGACTTACAAAAAGGAGCTGCTGTCCCTGCGGATTTATTGCTGCAGCTTTGTGCCATCTATCTAAGCTTAAATTCTCTATTGTTTGTGACACACACATACACACACATCCTTTGAAATGCTGAGATACAATAATCCAATCACTCCCGCGACACACACACACACACCGCAGCACCTTTCAGGAGCTCCTGGGAGCGATGTCAGTGTTTAGAAGCAACTGTTACAGAAGCATACAAGCTAATTAAAACACACTCGTTCCTTGACAGCTCCACACACACACATCTAACATCAGACAGTTTCACAGAAAGCACGAGGAGCTGCAGAAACCAGCAGACCTGCATCAGTCTGTGTGTGCGAGGTGAGCGGGCGGAGGCAGCAGTAGGTGGCTGAGAGCCACGGCAGGTGGTGGATGTGCCTGTTTGCTTAAATCACAACATGTTGATGCGTGCACGGGCCCGTGTGTTCGCGTGGGCATGTGTGCACGGCAGATGGTGCGTGACGACTGTATTGCTCCAAGCAGCACAGCTGTCAGAGGCAATACTGGACACACACCTCTTCATCAACTTAAACTGTGGCATCACTCACACACACACTGACACACACTGACACACACACTTCAGCTTGCTGATTTGGTGCCTTAGATGTTTTTCTAAATAAATACATCTTATTTTTAAGTATATTTTAAATGTGCGCAGACCAGTGGGGTCATGATCTTTGCAGTCTGGTACAAGTGAGTTTGTAAAAAGAACACATGGAACTAAAAATATATATATTTTGGATCTTAATTAGTCAACTCATTTCTAAACTTTCACTGAGACCTTATATACATATACATATATATATATATATATATATATATATATATATATATATATATATACATATATATATATATATATATATATATA